GATCCCCTTTTGTTGGCAGTTCAGTGGGTCCAGGTGGTTGAGTATCAGAGTGTTCCATCTCATTTCCCTTTGGGGTTGCTGTAGATGATCTGGAAGTCTGGTTTTGAGACTTATTTATGTGTTTTCTCATTTTGATTACCTCCTCTGAGCTGGGTGAGGTGGGCCAGGGGCCGGGAGCAGTGGTAGGGATGGTGACCCAGAAGCCCTTTCCTGTGGGCTGGGAGCAGCAGGAGGGATGGTGGCCAGGAACCCCCTTCCTCTGGACGAGGAGCAGTGGGATGGTGGCTCAGAAGCCCCTCCCTCTGGGCCGGGAGCGGTGGGGGAGATGGTGGCCTGGAAGCCCCTTCCTTTGGGCCAGGAGCTGCGGGACAGAAGGTGGCCCAAAAGCCCTTTCCTCTGGGCTGGGAGTAGCGGGAGTGATGGTGACCAGGAAGCCCCTTCCTCTGGACCAGGAGCAGTGGGACGATGGCTCAGAAGCCCTTACATCTCAGCCAGGAACAGTGGGACTCAGTACCTTGGTCTGGTGGTCTGGTGTCCTCTGCGTCTTTGTAGTGTGGAATCAGGTGGCTACCTGTCTGTAGCGGGGTGATTTGGCGTCTTCTGAGTGACTTTGCACAGCGGTAGGGCGAGCACAGACCTGCCTGTCTGCAGCGGGGTGATTCGGCGTCTTCTGCGTGACTCAGGACCTCTGTAGGGCAAGCACAGACCAGCCTGTCTGCTGCGGGCTGATTCGGCATGTTCTGTGTGACTCAGGACCTCGGTAGGGCATGGGCAGACCTGCCTGTCTGCAGCGGGGTGATTAGGCGTCTTCCGCATGACTCAGGACCTTGGTAGGGCATGCACAGACCTGCCTGTCTGCAGCGGGCTGATTCGGCATGTGTTCCGGGCGACTCTAAAGTAGTATTTTATAAAACCTTATGGTGCTGCAGAAAATAGTCCCTTAATTCATGCGTTCTGACACGTCAGCATAGAGCGGTTCAGGTAACAGTCTGAAGTCACTGTGCTCGGCGCTGGTGGGTCAGCTCACCTGGCCAGCATTCTGCTTCTCAATCATCTCATCACTCACGCTTCATACAGGTGCCACGAGGACCTGGGTTGGGATAGTTCGGTAGTCAGTAGCGTGCACAACACAAATAAAAGCACTGTTTTGGATTAATTTTTAAGTTAATCATTTTAAAAATGTAACGTTTTATTAATTTTATTCCTAAAAACATGAGTGAAACTTTGCTGAAAGTGACGGGTGACTGGATCTCCGTGTGACTTCCAGAAGGTCAGGCTCAGGCTGAACCCCAGGCTGTGGCAGTGGAGGACTCTGCTGATGTGGAGGGCTGCTGGCCACACAGCTGGCTTTTCAGCCGCCTCCACTCCTGCTTGTCCCCAGGGTCCCCTCACCTGCTGCTGCTCTGACAGTGGAGAGGTCAGGCTCTCACTCTGCAGCGGGCACAGAGCAGCCTGTGGTGCAGACAGTGCCCGGTGCTTCCGTGTATCCAGGGTCACTAAGGCGGGGTCAGGTTAGCATAATGGGGTCAGATGCTCACAATGTGTGGCAGCTGCCTGGAGGGGTCACGGCGTGTTCACGAGTGGCAGCAGTAACTGTCGTGAGACGTGCCTGGAGCACACAGCTGTCTAGTGGCAGGAGATGTGCATTGGTATCAGGTCCAGGGCTGGGGGCACAATTTTGGGTCAGCCACCGAGAACATGACATCGCTTTTGTTCTTTCTGAACCCACTAATCAAAAGTAGGGTAACAGGTTTCCGTTGAAATGTTTAATAGAATATGTGCAATTTTTATATTTTTATGATTTTAAAAATAGTTACTAGAGGGCCGGGGATTTAGCTCAGTGGTTCTGCCACCTGCCTTGAAAGCATAAGGTCCTGAGTTCCATCCCTGGTACCAAAAAGGAAAGAATAGATACAAAGAACTCTAGATCAGTATATAGTCTACCTAGACTCATTGAATGTTTTAAGTTCTAAATCAGGCCCATCAGCCTTGTCTGCATCGTAGAGGGTGGTCCTCAGCTAGGGAGGCTGAGCTCTGTGGCCAGACTCCTTATCTTTCCTCTTAGCCGTTGTTCAGTCAGGGAAGGGTGGCACCTGGCCGCAGAGCTCTGAGAGGAAGCTCAGCTAGGTGAGTTTTGTGCCCGGCATTTTTGCTGAGAGTGGAGACCTGGAGGAATAAGGGACCACAGGAAAGGGGAGGAGCTCAGGCCCCACCAGAGTGGTCCCTGGGGAGGTGGGAGACAGGCCTGGGGGTTGGAGGAGCCGTGGTGACCCGCAGAGAAGCTGCATGGCAAAACTGAGCCCTTAGGCAGTGCGCATGTGCAGGGTGTGCCGGACGCGGGAGCGTCCTTTAACAGTGTTAGGCCGTCAGCTGCCAGAACAGTCATGGTAAAAGTGCAGTGTTTCATTTTTCCTTTATTTTTAATTCATATCAGTAATATTTTTCAAATATTGAAGTCTTTGTCTTTTTTTATGGGCAAACGTCACATTTGTCTCAAGATTGTGAGCCACTGAAAGTGCACTGAATTTATACACGTGTCTTAAGGTATTCTGCTGTGTTAAAATGTTAGGAGAAAAAATGTAACTGAGTAACACTTTAACAGGCATTTATTACCTTATTTCGGAGTTGAATTCTGTAATTTGAATGTGTTAAACATGTAATAAATACAGTGGTCTGTACTTTAAAAAAAAAAAAAAAGAAACATTCTACCTGTATTAACCAAAAAAGTAAAAGTCATAAACAAAGGACAAAGATCTCTAATGTTTTAAAGGTATATTATCTACTTCATATAGTTTTTTTAGTCATGCTAAAGTGAAGGAATCTATTCATCACTTAGCTGATTTGTCGTGGGTTTCTAATTATCTAATTAACTTGAAATACTACAACATTGAACTAAGACCTAGAATTCTGATTTGCATTTGGATCATTAATGATGTGTTCTTTCACATGAATGTGAACATATAGAAAGTAGTGTTCCAAAATAGCATTGAAATGTTACAAATTTAAATTTAAGTACATTGACCCTTTTTGGATATTATGATGGCTTAAAATTGTCAGTAATTGAGTACCTGATTATAAAATTATATTTTGAAGTTTTAAAAGAAATCAGTTCAGCATGTAGTGAATCATGTTTCATCTGGGGTATAATATACAGTATCACTCATTGTTTATACTTGTGAACAGCCATTTTAAATGAACAATACTATGGGTACTGAGCTGCGTATATATAATAAAAATTACTATAAAAAAAGAAAAGAAAATTTATCATGCAAGAGATGAAATACCTCACCTGTTATCACAGAGTGGTGTCTTCTCTCCATATCTGTCTCATGCCAAGAGAACCTCTCCATCCCAGTACAGTATCATATGGTCTTATTTGTAGTATTTATCATCTCCTAAAATTATCCTATTTTTTAAATCTCTTTTATTCCTTCTCCCACTAGTTCAGGTGTCCTTTTCTATCCCCTTCACCATTGCATCCTCCATGTTTGACACACAGCCTAGCACACAGTAGGGAAATCAACATATAGTTGTTGAATGAATGCAAAAAAGATAAAATTATTTCTACAGCCTCTGCCATTCAAACCTGCTATAAAATATTAAACTGGACAAATATTGTTGTATTTATGTAGAATTGTCTAGACTTTTGCTCTGCAAGTCATTTACAGTAACATTTAAATATGCAAGTGTTAAATTATTGGAACTTCTCAAAATAATCATTTGCATATCTGGAGCCTTGGTGGGAATTCCTGGAAGACTGGACTCAACTGGTCTTCTTTGACAGACTCCCGTGACCAAAGACAGAGCAGGCTATAATATGGAGTAGGCATTTTCCCCCATAATTGGCCACAATGTATTCGGCGTTGGACTGAAGCCTATGTGACTCACAGGAGCATGTCAGATGACACTGCAGGCGAGCATCCCCCCCCCCACAACACAGCTGTAGCAGAGACCTAAGTCCTGGTCTGTGAAGCTACAGGGCTCCTAAGTGAGATAACATTGGAGCCAAGGACCATGTGGCTCCAAACTACTTTTCATTCCTAGACCTACCCCTCCCTTAATTGTTTTAGTAGCTTACTAGTTAACCACACCCTACCTTTGGTCTATTCCGGTCTTTTTCCAAGAATGACTAATCCTCTTTTTATAAATTTTGTCTGTGTCAGGTGATATCACTGAATGTTACACATAACCCCCTACCCTATTTTACTCATCCTTGTATAATCAATAAATACCAGTGGTCCTGGCTGCTTGGGGTCCTTGGCACATGTTTGGCATGGCTCAGCCCAGTTCCCAACTTTCTGTTTAAGTCTTGTTTCTGTGTCTTTCCTTTTCCTTGTGTCCTATTGCCTTGAAGGAGATTGAGAATCTTGGCTGAGGTCCTAGATAGTCTCCCTAGGTGGCTGGACTGCTCTCTTACTGTACTTATTCTCAGGGCTGGCTCCTTCCATGTGCCCTTGTAGGTGGCTTCACCTCACAGTCTGTCTATTGGGGAATCTGCTTGTTTAAACTGGTGGCTCAGGTCTTCCAAAAGTGAAGCTACCAGGCCATTTAATTTCTACTCAAATAATTGCCATGATGTTAGTTTGGCTTCATTTTGTTTATTAAAGTGGGTCATGGTGCCAGACCAGATTGAGTGTGTAAGAAGATTACACAGGGTGTGAGAATCAATGAGGGTATCTTTGGACATTTCCTACCACAAGTATTCCTTATGACAAGTAAATACTAACTAGAGTACTAATAAAGCACAATGCTCCATAATTATCAAGATAATATGAATTCTTTCTCTCAAATACCACTCATATTTATTTCCTTATATCTATACTCCTTGCTATCCTTCTGTTACAGGTATTCATCATGCTCTTGGATGATCATAGTTATTTCCTAATTGTTTCTCTACTGGAATCCAACTTCTACATAAACACTAGAGTTATTAGGAAATATGCCCAATCAGATCACTTCCTGTTTGTCTTGGGATAATGAAGAACCATTATAAGTTCTAAGGTGAAAACTATAGTAAAAGATAGAAGGTCATTTACATAGTCTTTCCCTATATTACCTTTAATGTTTATTTTCCATCCTTTTCTGCCACATTTCTAACATTTCGCTAGTGGCAAATGAAAAGTTGAGATTTCTACCAGTAATATATTTACACAGCAACTCTTTAGACATTAAATTTTCATAGTGAACTGATAGTTGGATCCTAAATAATATGTCCACTCCCAGAACTGTGGGCCTTTGCAAATGTAATTAGGCTAAGGAAATTATGCACAGTGGTGTTAGCCATTTCACATGTATATTATATGTATATGTCTGTACTCAGCTTCAGTTATATGCCTATTATTCATAGATATGAGTTACAGCTAGTTTATGTTTGTTAAATGTTGTTTGTGTGTGCTTGTGTGTACCAAAAAGTATGGTAAATACTTGACCTATGCTTTTGAGGATATGTTGGTGAGCAATAGACATTTTTATCAAGTGCTTGCCACTTACTAGGGAGTACATTTGTGACACATCACCAAACAAAATAGACAAAATTCTTTAATTCTATAGACTCTATATACTAGAGCAGGGCTATCCAGTAGAACTTTCTGAGATGGTAAGAAAGTTCTACATGTGCACTGTCCAATAGACACTAGCTTCATGTAGCTATTCAGCTTTTGAAATGTAGCTTGCATGAATGAGAAAATAAAATTTAAATTGTATTTAATTAAATGATTCCCATGTGATTGTTAATTACCACACAAAACAGCACATTTCTTGAGGATGATAAGGATATATACCCTCAAAATATATAAGGTCAGCTTAGAAAATCAATGTATAGTTATAATCCAGAGTAGTAAATACTATGATGTCTAACCAAAGTTCTGTGGGTCCCACAGCTTTTCCCAAAATTAATTTATGTGCTCATCCACATTTTTCCACTATATAATGTATCAATAGAATGTATCAGACAAAATAGGATGCTATTCTGTTCAAGCTTTTGTTTCAAGTAAGCATTCATACAGGAAATGATATTTAATGGATTAGACTTTTCTTCTTAGTTATATTAATGCCTCCCACTACTGCAATATGTGCAAGTAACATAATAGGACAGTAGAAATCAACTCTAAATGAATAATTTGTAAAGGAAATCTGTATTACAAAGAGCAAAATGTATTTTTCATTTTCTGTTTGAAGTGATTTTCTGTCTAATAATAAATTATGAGTCGTTTCCACATTTATTGAAATGTGTGAACCAATATATTGCATGAGCTCATGTACAAGCATGTGCTACATGGCAAGCATGATTCTTGATGACAATAGAAATGGCAAAGTATGTTTTCTTCTGATGCCCTAGTTTTAAATAATAGAATCTACTTTTGTGAGGCAAATCTTACCTTCCTGAACAATATTAGTAATGATAAACTGATATTTATCTTCTTTCTAGTCATTAACACACATAGCTATCACCTAAATTAGAACGCAACTTTTAAAAAAATTGGATATTGAGTAAGCAGTTTCCAAGATCAGTCACTGGGGCGCAGCTTCTGCAAACAGACTCTCCTCTGAAGTAAGTGGGCAAAAGCTCAATGTACTGTCTCGAGTTGCAGACACTCTTTTTCTCTTCCTTTCCAATACACAACAAGCTTTGCGTGAGACACCACAACTATTTTTTTAGAGCTGAAAGAAGCTTGTGCTAGGGAAATTCACATAGAGGCACTCAGACTCAGTGGTTCTTTCTCAAGAGGAAGAGACAGGGATG